AAAATACCAGGAAAATGCCTAGCTGCCTCTCAAAGTCTCACATCTACTGAAGTTCATGCATCTTCTTGCTGTTTCCAGAGGATCAGTGATCTCTCTTTCTCTCACCCACTATCAATCATCTATCTACCTAGTTATCTTCCCACTTACCTACCTAATTTAGGTCTTCCAAAACTTGTGTAAATTCCTCACACTGGCAGACTCTAGTTTTCAGAGATTCTGGGATATGTGGCTCATATTCACAGGTTTTTGGCCCCTGTGATTCATGGAAGATCATGGAAGGGAGGATGGCATTGAGTTGCTAACATGGTCTGGTGCAGATTCTCAGAGTAAAGGAAGCGGAACAAACACCACATATGCTACCCTGCGTCAGAGACATTGTAAGTACTTCTCTCACATTATTTACTTTTTTTTTAACATGTAAGGAAGCTTAATCTATTTGAGCAGTTTAGGGGGTCTTGGAGACATTGAGGAGATTAGGGAGGATCAGGATATAGAAAAACATTTTTATTTCTGAACAGAGAAAGAAAATGGAAGTCGTAAGCTATAGATTGTTGAACTTGGTGGGAATTCTGGGAGAGTTTCTAGATGCAAACATCAAGAAGATGGCACATGAGGACTTGGAAAATAAAACTGTGCTCACAAAATGTCATCAGACATTTACAAGGAAGAGTTGTACCCAAAATCACTTTATTTGTTTGTTTATATATGAATGACTGAGGGGATTACTGAACATATGCAGCATATGGATTTTCATGAAGCATTTACCAAATTCTCATTAGGTCTCTGTGAACAAATGGCAAAATACAGGTGGCACTAGTGCTAAGTGGAATCATAACTGAAGGAGTGTACCCTGAGAATGTGACTAATGGACATGTGACAGCCTGGAAAAATGGTCTCATTAAGGAGTCCTGTTTGATTTTGTCTGGTTCAACATTTTTATCATTGTTTCCTTTGAGAGTAGTGATGACTCTCTAATCAAATCTGAGGATGCACCACAGCAGAGAGAAAGGATAAATAAATTGTATAATGAAATTAGGATTCACCAAACTATCAATAGCCTGTCATGAAAGGCAGAAGTAACAAGTTAAATTGTACTAGAAATAAATCTAGAACATTCCTTCTAGACCTCAAACAGTATATGAGGGGAAGTGAGGCGGGTAGCTTAAGAGCAGACTCTGAAAACAGACTAAGGTCTTGTTTTTATTGTAAGCCACCTTAGACTCTTGGATCATATGGAACTGTCAAAAAAAAATGACATGATACTTTGAATTGCATTTATAGTATTGCTTTGAATAGAATAATACCAGGTACATATACATGCTCAACAGATACTATGTAAAATAGTGTATGAATTAAGGCATTTTCTGGAATATTATGTTTGATGTGGAGCAGGTTCTTGGCTTCACTAAGGAAAGTATTCAAGAGAGAACCAGTGGTGGCTAAGGCAGCAGCAGTGTTGCAGCTCTTTGTGACTGATCCTTGCAGAGCAGGGCTAGCCCATAGGCAGTGCAACAAGAGTAGCAGCATATGGGTGGTTTGCAGTGATATTTATACTGACTTCAATGACATGCTAATTAAAGGGCAGGTTATTTAGAAATAGAAAGTGAGCAGTGACTTCCAGGTGTTGCCATGGTGCTGATGGGAGTGTCTTACACTGCTTATCAGTGAGGACAACTGAAGGTGCTTCCAGTGCCTCTCCCCAGTTTCTTCCAGTCTCCAATCTGGTCCAGAGATGCGTCCTGTCTGCTTTCTACCTCATTCCCCACTCAGAGATCAGAACTTCTCCTTAATCTTAAGAGGGTTGCAGAAAGGCAGAGGTCCACCTTTTGTAACTGCTTTCTGCTGATTTATTGGCATTGGTCATTGGCCCTGCCTGGCATTGGAGAAGTAAACATTTCTGGATACCTGATCTAAGAGGCCAAAAGGCAGAATTTTTTTTTTTTTTTTTTTTTTGAGATAGAGTCTCACTCCATCACCAGGTGCCAGGCTGGGGTGCAGTGGTGTGACCTCGGCTCACTGCAACCTCTGCCTCCCGGGTTCAAGCAATTCTTCTGCCTCAGCTTCCTGAGTAGCTGGGACTACAGGCATGCGCCACCATGCCCACCTAATTTTTTTTGTATTTTTAGTAGAGATGGGGTTTCACCATGTTGGCCAGGATGGTCTAGATCTCTTGACCTCGTGATCTGCTAGCCTCAGCCTCCCAAAGTGCTGGGATTACAGGTGTGAGCCACCGAGCCTGGCCAGGATGTTTTTATTCTTTGGGTCAGAAGACAGGATAGCTTGAAAGCCTTGTGCCAGCATTGTCCTCACATGGGACTGTTGTAACCTGGAAGACACAAACTTTACTAAGATTGTTGCTTCTTGCTGTCTCTTGCCACCTCCGTGTCACCAGTGATTATCTCTCACCATTGCCTCATCAATCACTGACCACCATCATCTCTTTTCTCCTGGCTGACTCACCACAGATGCAGGTCAGGTTCTTGGCTTTGCTCAGAAAAGAACTCAAGAACAAGGCTGGGTGTGGTGGCTCACACCTGTAATCCCAGCCCTTTCAGAGGCTGAGGCAGAAGGATCACTTGAGCCCAGGAGTTCAAGACCAGCCTGGGCAACATAGCAAAGCCCTGTCCCTACTTAAAAGAATTCAAGAGCAAGCTGGCGATGAAAGAAAGCAGCTTTATTAAAGTGGCAGCAGTGTTACATCTCTGTGACTGCTCCTGTGGAACAAAGCTAGCGCATAGGCAGTGCACTGAGCAATGACATATGGGTGGTTTGAGGTCATGTTTATATCTACTGCTAATGACATGCTTATTAAGAGGTGGGTTATTCAGAAGTAGCTGGAAAATGAATGATAACTCTAAGGGTATTGCCATGGCAAAGGGTAGTAACTTCAGGCATCTCCAGACATCAGTAAACTGTGGGAGTGCTGGTGGGAGTGTCTCAGGGGATGCACAGTGAGGGCAACGGGAGGTGCTTTCAGCACCTCTTCCTGGTTTCTGCCAGTCTTCTTTCTGGTCCAGAGATGAGTTCTGCCTGCCTCCTACCTCATGTGGAGTCACTCAGGCATTCATTTAACAAATATTTTTTGAGAAATATACTCAGAATTTGGTTAGGTGCTGGGTACACATAAGAGAAAAAAATAGACAAAATCTCTACCATGAGGAATGGAAAGACTTATTGAGCATCCTATATATATCAGGCACTGTATTGAGGCCATGAAGATGACTGCAGTTCCTGCCTCCAAATTCTTGTTAAAGAAACAGATATATACAAATAGTCACAACCCAGAAATTTTACATGCCATTACTAGAAAGAGGAAGGGTTCCAAGAGAGGGTACAATGAACTCATTATAAAGGGCATCTGGTAAAGACATGCAAATTATACCAGTATCACCTTGTCTGTAGGTTTATGAATGGGACATACGCAGGTTGCTTTTGTGCATGTGATGAAGAGGTATTCGATCATAATCAGGACCCACCTTTACATGTTTATTCTGAGCAAGACAACTAGAATTGTGAGTAAGCCTAAAACCTGTAACACATAAGAACACAAAATTTTGATTCTTTCTTTTTTTGAGAATGAGTCTCACTCTGTCCCCAGGCTGGAGTGCAATGGCGTGATTTTTGGCTCAATGCAACCTCCATCTCCTGAGTTCAAGTGATTCTCATGCCTTAGCCTCCCGAGTAGCTGGGATTACAGGCATGTGCCACGAAACCCAGCTAATTTTTGTATTTTTAGTAGAGACAGAGTTTCTTGAGGTTAGCCACAATGATCTTGATCTCCTGACCTCGTGATCTGCCCACCTCAGCCTCCTAAAGTGCTGGGATTACAGGAGTGTGTCACCGTGCCTGGCCTATTTTTTTTAATACATTTTATTTTGTTTTATTTTATTTTTTATTTAGTCGCCCAGGCTGGAGTGCAGTGACACAATCTCAACTTGCTACAACTTCCACTTCCTGGGTTCAAGCAATTCTCCTGCCTCAGCCTCCTATGTAGGTGGAATTACAGGCATCCACAACCATGCATGGCTAAGTTTTGTTTCTTTAGTAGAGACAAGGTACCTCCATGTTGGCCAGGCTGGTCTCAAACTCCTGACCTCAGGTGATCTGCCGGCCTGAGCCCCTCAAACTGCTGGTATTACAGGTGTGAGCCACCATGCCTGGATGGCTCTTCTCTTATAAGACTGAAACTCCCTACTAGTTAAACACAAACTCCCCGTTCCCTCCTCCAGCCCCTGGCAACCACCATTCTCCTTTCCATCTTTACTATTTTGAGTATTATTTTGTTTTTGTTTTTTTTTTAGATGAAGTCTTGCTCTGTCACCCAGGCTGGAGTACAGTGGCTCAATCTCGGCTCACTGCAACCTCCGCCTACTGGGTTCAAGTGATTCTAATGCCACAGCCTCCCAAGTGTCTGGGATTACGGGCATGTGCCATCATGGCCGGCTAATTTTTATATTTTCAGTAGAGACGTGGTTTCAGCATGTTGGTCAGGCTGGTCTTGAACTCCTGACCCGGCCGGGCAAGGTGGCTCACTCCTGTAATCTCAGCATTTTGGGAGGCCAAGATGGCAGATCACAAGGTCAAGAGTTTGAGACCAGCCTGGGCAACATGGTGAAACCCTATCTTTACTAAAAATACAAACATTAGCCACGCATGGTGGCAAGTGCCTGTAATCCTAGCTACTCGGGAAGCTGAGGCAGGAGAATTGCTTGAGCCTGGGAGGCGGAGACTGCAGTGACCCCAGATCTGCAACCTCCTCCTAGGGTTCAAGCGGTTCTCCTGCCTGGCACCTCCAGCAGCTGGGATTACAGGTGGGCGCCACCACATCTGGGTAATTTTTGTATTTTTAGTAGAGACGAGTTTTCAGCATGACGGCCAGTTACTGAGATTCCCCCACCTCACCCCAGTTCCCCGGGAGAGGCCAGCACGGCCCTCATGCGGGTGTCACAAAGACAGGTGTGATGCGAGTCCCTCTCCCTGGGAAGGGGCTGGCTGGGTCCAGTCTGCAGGGCCTCTCTGGGCACTGACCTAGGATAGAGTTGAGGTGCGGCAGCGCTGGACACCAGGGACCCTGCCTGCCTCCTGGGGAGCGGGGTGACCCAGGCAGCCCCGGTGAGGCCGCGAATGTCTGGGCCCTACCTAGCAAGGCTGCTGGGCTCCCATGGGACTGATGCGGACAGTGAGGCCAGGGAGGCCCTGCTGCCCTCGGACTGTCCCTCCAGCCCCCAGCTTTCCGTGGTTCTAAGGGCCCCCTCTGCAGAGGGACCAGGGAGCCCGCCCTGCATCCTGAGGCGCCGCACTGGAGGGACCCCAGAGCTCTGGTCAGGCCGCTTCCTTTGTGAATCGCAAAGCTGAGGTCCACACGAGGGCAGAGGCAGGTCCTGACAGCTTCCCAGGCAAAGAGAGGCGATCCTGGAGCTGGGGTCACACGGCTCCAGTCCTGCAACCTCTAGGGCCCTAGAGGTGGGAGGAGAGACTGGGGCCTTTCGTCCACCGCTGGGTCTGGGCACAGGCTCAGCCTGTGCCACAACGTGAAGCTGCTTCTGTGCAGTCCAAGCCGCGGCCCCTTTAAGAGGGGGGTGGTGCGTCAGCCAGTCGTTAGGGACGCTGCTGGCGTGCGCACTCTACGGAAGCCGAGACGGCGCTTCCCACGGAGCCCCAGAAGCCGTGGCATCTTTGAAGGGAGCAGATGCAGCAGCGGTGTGGTTGGAGCCAGCGAAAGCAGCGGCCAAAGGCGGCGGCGAGGTCCAACCGAGCAGAAGCGGAGTCGGTATCTGAGCGAGCAGAAGAGGTGGTGCAGTCCCAGCCAGCAGAAGTGGCGGCATTATGGTCCCAGCCAGTGGAAGCGGCGGCCAGAGGCTGCGGTGTAATCCTACTGAGCAGAAGAGGAGTAGGCGTCTCAGCAAGCAGTATGGGCAGCGTCTACAAGTGGCGGCGCAGTCCCAGCTGGCAGAAGTGGAGACAGTGTTCCAGCGAGCAAAGCGGCAGCGTCCAGAAGCTGCGGGCAGGGTCCCAGCCAGCAGAAGCGGAGTCGGCGTCCCAGCGAGCAGACGTGGCCGCGCGGTCCCAGTGAGCTTCGGAGAAGCAGTGGTGGCTTCCAGGTGATGGGGGAGCAGGAGGCAGGTCTCCCTGGTAAGTGGCGTGGCATGAACCCCACTGGGAACCCTCTGGGCCTCCCTGCTCCTTCCCTAACACTTGCTTTTGGGTCATGACTCCTTGTGGGAATCTGGGCACCAGTAGTATGCGTGGTGGCCATTGTGGGGTCCTGGCCACCCGAGCGTTCACATCCTGGCCGGGACTGGTGTGCAACCCGTGTTCAACATATAGGAGCGCTCTGGCCCAGAACCGCGGTGAAGCACGGGACCTGGGACCCTCCGAGCCCCTGGCCCTCTGAGCTGAGGTCCAGGGTTAGTTTGATGTCTCAGGACCTTTAGAAAGAGACCTTGCTAGAGCACAGTAGAGCAGGGGACATCTGTAGTGTCAATTCTTTGAGAAGTCTCCACGTATTTAGCTGTTTTCTGTAGTGTGTATTCTGATTTTCATTTTCATCTACAGTGTATGAGTTTCCTTTTCTCCAAAACCATACCCGCATTCCTTTTTCTTTTCTTTTCTTTTCTTTGGAGACAATCTCGTTCTGCACTCCAGGCTGGAGTGCTGTGGTGCCATCTGGCCTCACTGCAACCTGCGGTCCCGGGTTCAAGCAATTTTCCTGTCTCCGCCTCCTGAGTAGCTGGTACTACAGGGGCCCGCCACCACACCAGGCTAATTTTTGTATCGGTAGTAAAGACGGGGTTTCCCCGTATTGATCAGGCTGGTCTCAAACTCTTGACCTCAGGAGATCTGCTACCTCTGACTCCCAAAGTTCTGGGATTACTGGCGTGAGCCACCGAGCCTGGCCTCTCCTATTTTTAAAAAACTTTCTAGGAATATTCAATAAGTGTGAAATTATCTATGTGGTTTTCAATTAAACCACACACAGTTAGTTAACTTTGTTGGATAGTTAATATTGAGGACCTTTTATCTGTTGTTCAATTTTATGTCGCAGAATTGTCTGTTCAGGTCCTTTGCGAAATATTAGATGCTTTTGCTACTTTGTAGTGTTTTTTGTGTACACCTTAGATGACAACACATGAATTACATGATTACCTGAAGTTTTTGCCTAATCTATAGGATGCTTTTTTTATTTGGAAAGTAGTTTCTTTGCCATGCAGAAACCTTTCAGGTTGATGTAGTCCATGTTTATTTTTGAGTTTTATGCATGTAATTTTGGTCAACCATATAAGAAAATACGTATCAGTGACAAAGCATTTAATTGTCAATGAGGTTTTTCTTCCAGGGTGTTTCTTTCTTTTTCTCTTTGCAAAGGTGAGCAGAAATTCAAGTGACCCAGAATATATGCTCAACCTGTGTTTTAGTTAAAAACATTTTGTGGTTTATGGTCTTTTGTTCTGGTCTTCAGGGGTTTGTTTGTTTTTTGTTGGGGGTGGGGGGGTGCAGGGGTTGATTTTCATATGTCATGTAAAATCAGGGTCCTGTTTCTCTCGTCTGCATCCTGATAACATTTTTTCTCAAAGGTATTCATTGAGCAGACTCTGCCTTCCACATTGCAGTGGTCTTTGTCAAAGTGAGTTGACTGTGTCCATTTTTGCATTGGTCTTGTTTTGTCCTCCTCGTTTTTGTCCACAGTTCTAGGTATTGTTTTATCCAAGTACCTTATATCTGCTGCATAACTGCAGCTTGGCAGTGTGATTTAATATCGAGGATTGTGGGTCCTCACTTTGATTGTATTTCTCAGGATTCCTTTAGATATGAATTGTTTTTATGGTTCCCTGTGATTTTTAGCAATGTGTATTTATTTCTGTTAACTTTCTTTTCTGCAACATAAAGGTGCATAATTAGGGGTACATTTTCACACATATAGATTGGGTAATGATCAAATCAGGGTACTTAGGATCTCTATTCCCTCATAAGGTATTATTTTTGTGTGGAGAGAACACTCAAAATTCTCCTTTCTTGTTCTTTTGAAAAATATAATGTTAACTCCAGTCACCAGGCTGAGGAGAACACTCAGATTTATTCCTTTAAGATAACTTTGCTTCCATAACCAATCCCTACTCCCCCTCTATCTCCCAGAATCTGGTAACCAATATTGTGCTTTCTGCCTCATTAAGATATCTTAAGATTCAGTGTTTGTTTTTCTTGGCCCAGCTCATTATATTTAACATAATCTTTTCCAGGTTTATCTGGGTTGCTCCACAGGACACTGTTTCATCATTTTGGTGGCCAAAGAATATTCCCTAGTGTATGCATATGAGAATTTCTTGATCCCTTTATCTGTGGATGGACAGGTAGGTTGAATGTATACCCAGTAGTGAGAATGCTAGATGGTATGGTATTTTTCTTTTCTATTCTTTGCAGGATCCCCAACTGTTTTTCATAGCATTAATACTAATTTATGTTTCCACAAACAGTTCCCCTTTGTGGAAATTCATACTAGAAGTTGTCTTTTTAAATATTTTAATCTGTTTGTAATGTTCATTCTAGTTGGGAGTGAGAGAAGATCTGAGTGTGGTTTTGATCTTCATTTTTCTCATATGTAGTAATGGTAACCACATTTTTGCAAATGTTCCATTAGTTTCTTGTCTGCACAAATACCTCTTCAGGTTATCTGGTTTGGTTATTTTTCTGCCTTTTTTTTTTTTTTTTTTGCCAGCTGGTAGCGTTACTGGCTTATACCTTTTCAAAAATAACCCCTTATCAAACTGAATGTTTGCCCAAACTTTTCTTATAATTTTTAGCATGCTTTTTCATTTTGTTCATTGTTTGTTGGGCACAAACTCTTCAGTTTGACGTGGCCCCACATGTGTATAATTTTTTGGTTAGCTGTGCTGTTGGTTACTAATGAAGAAAAAACAAAATCACTACAAAAGCAGTCCATTGTCCGTGATTTTCTCTTCCTTGTATTTTTGTTAGTTTTTGTAAATCGTGAGCATACATCCAAGTTGCCATAAATATACACACACCCGAGGTTGTCTTTATAGGAGCTTTATGGTTGCAAGTTTTGTGTATAATCTTTAATCCTTTTCAATTGATTATTGTGTATTTTATACCATAAGAGTCCTGTAGTATTCTTTTGCATATGGATACCTAGTTTTGAAAACTTTCTCCATTGTGTCAGTTTGGTAGTGTTTTGAAAAATGTGTTCACTCTATATAAATTTGTGTTTATTATTGAATGCCCTCATTTTGCTCACTGATCTGTGTTTCTCTGTGTTTGCCAGTAACATGTAGATTGGTTAACTAGAGATTTTCATTTAATTAGAACTCAGGGAATGTGATACATGCCACATGGTTTGATAACTTTGGAAATTCAGGATGTTTCACATTTCCATGAGAATTTTGGCATTTTTTAAAAATATATCTTAAAACACCATTTGCCATATATAAATGTATATAATTGCGGGGTACAGGGAAGATTTTGATACATGTGTATTCTGAGTAATGATCAAATTGGGTTATTTGGCATCTCTTCACCTCGTATGGTTTAATTTTTTTTTGTGGTAACAACATTCAGAATATTGTCTTCTACTTTGAGACATATGATACATTTGTGTTAAGGCCAGTCACCCTGCTATGGAATAAAAGACCAGAATTGATTGCTCTCATCTGAGAGTAACTTTTTAACCATTACTGATTCCTTCGCAGACCCTCTCCATCTTCCCAGCGACCTCTAGTAATCCCTATTGAACTTTCAGCTTTTAGGAGATGAAGATGTTTTCAGTCTGCATGCCTGAGATCGTGTGGAATGGGACTTTCTCTACCAGGCTCATTCGTTGGACCCAATGTTCTCCAGGTTTCTTCATGTGGCTGCAGATGGCAGGATTTTCCAGAGCTTTATGGCTGGAACATACTCTGTGGTGTATCTGTACAGCAGTTTCTTCATCTCTGCAGCTGTGTGTGGACAGGTAGGTTGGTTCTGTATCTTAGCCACAGTTACAAGTGCTTTAGTACCCATGGAAGGCAGATAGCTCTCTTCAGCCGAGGGATTTCAACTGCTTTAAATGTGGAACCAGTGGTGGGGCTGCCAGCTGACATGGTAGTTGTGCCGTCAAGTTTTTCAGGAACCTCTTGCTGTTTCTCACAGTGTGTATACTAGTTTACATCTCCACCAATAGTGTTGAAAAGGTTACCTTTCTGTAAGTCTACACTGGCTGGCGCCTTCAAAAATTTGTGTTTTGTTTTTGGTAGTATTCATAGTGAGTGGAAGGAGACAGAATCTTAGTGTAGTTTTCATGGACATTTTTGTGAGTATTAGTGACGTGGAGAAGTCATTTGAGAAATCCCCACATTGCTTTCCATGGTGTCTGAACTGGTTTGTATTTCCACCAGCAGCAGAGCAGCGTCCCTCTTCTCCACCTCGCCTGCATTTGTTCTTGTGGACTGTGTCCTAATCGTCATTCTGGCCAGTGTGAAATACTATCCTGTGGGCCTTTTGCTTTGCCTTTTTCTGATGATGACTGAGGTAGAGAAATGTTGTCATGTCTGTTGGTTGCTGTAAGCCTTCTTCTGAGGTGCATGTTTTCATGCTTCTTGCCCTTTCTTCATTGAGTTTTTGTTTTCCTGGTTTATTTGCTTAACATCTTTAAGGTAGATCCTGGATATTAGCCTTCATCAGATGCATACGTGGGAACATTTTCTCCCATTGGGCAGGTCATTTGTTCACTCTGTTGGTCATTTCTTCTGTACAGCAGCTCTTTTGTGTATTAGATGCCACTGGGCAATAATTGTTTTAGTTGCACTTGCTTTTGGAGACTGAGACACATCCTGCTGTGCCAAATCCTCTGTTAGGAAGGGCGTTTCTAGATTCTCTTGCAGGCTTTTCATAGTTTGAGGTCTTGCATTTACATCTTTCATTCATCTTGAGTTTATGTCTGTACACTGTGAGACACGGGGCCCACTGTTTTTCTTCTGCAGCTGGCTAGTCTTTTATGCCAGCGCCATCTACTGAAATGTGGGAGTCCTTTCTCCAAAGCTTATTTCTGTGGATTTTGAAGATCAGATGGTGTTAGGGATGACGGTTTATGTCTGGGTCCTCTAATCTCTTCCACTGCTCTGTGTGGAATGGGGTCCCTAGCTTTTCAATGAAATTTAACATCGGGAAGTGTGACACAACTGAGGTAGTTTGGATTTCTCAGGATTGCTTTGGAAATTCAGTGTGTTTTGTGGTCCACATGAATTTTAGCATTGCATATTTACATAGTTTTTAAAAGGTTGGTCATATAGTAGAGGTATACAATGGGAGGAGTTAGAGTGGGGCATTTTGATTAATGCAGACACAGAGGAATGATAAAATCAGGATATTTAGAGCCTCTCTTATCAGAAACAGTTAATTTCTTTGCGGTGAAAACATTTGGCATCTCCCAGATTTTGTGAAAAGGGTGTGATGTCGTGTTAACCTCTGGTCACTTGGCTGTGGAACAGTGAGGGACAATTCATTTCTCTCATCTAAGTGTAACTTTGTGCCTGTTTCTCACCTCTGCCCATGCCCCTTCTTCTCTTCAACCTTTAGTAACTATTATTGTGCTTTCTAGACCTATGCAATAAAGCCTGTTATTTTGGATTCTACATTAAGTTTTCTTTTTCTTCCTGTCTTAGGTCATATACTGTGATGTCCTTCAGGTTCAACAGTGTGGCTCCAAATGATGAAATTTCATTCTGGTTTTCTAGCTGAAGACGATTCTATTTGTGCACATATACCAGGTATCCCTTCATCTGTGGATGGGCAGGTAAGTCTATTCTTTGTCTTTGCAATTGTGAATAGTGCTACAGTCCACATAGGATGGCAGATGCCTCTTGCATGGACTGATTTCTTTTGCCCTGAATGTATACTTAGTAGTAGACTTGTTAGATCAAGTGGTAGTTATAGTTTAAACTTTTGGAGGAACCTCCCACTGGTTTCTGTAGTATGTATACTAATTAACAGTCTCACCAAATGAATTCCTCTGTGGAAATTTACACCAGCATTTGTGTCTCTTTTAATGTATTTTATTGCTTTGATAACATCTATATGAATTATAGTGAGATGATGTGTGTTGTTTTGGTTTACATCTTTCTCATGATTTGTGATGTTATCTAAGTTTTGAAAACTTGTTTTCAGTGTTACATCTTCTTTGTAGAAATGTCTATTTAGGTTCTTTGGCCCCATTTTGTTTAGTTGTTAGTTTCTCTTTTGTGTTTTTGCTAGTAAGTAGTGTTTGTTGCTTAGAGATTTTGAAGGCAATCTTTCATCAGATGTAGGTTTGCCGAAACCTTTCTTGTAAACTTCAGGATAATTTTTTTATTTTATTTATGGATTTTTTAAAAATCTGCTTGGGCACTAACTCTAACATATGATGCAGTTCCATGTGTGTCTGTTTTCTTGTTGTCCTTTGATGTAGGTGACTGATGAGGAAAAGCAGAATCATGACCAAACTATCCCATCACCTATGAGTTTTTCCTTCTGTATTTTTTATTTTGTTTTGTCACATTGTGAGAACAGATCCACATTGACCTAAATATACCCACACTGTATGTCTTCTCATTGGAAGAGTTTGATGCTTTCAACTTTTGTCAATCAGTCTCTAATTCATTTTGAGTTAATCCTTGGTCTTTTTTACCCAATAGGGGTCCTGTTTTACTTATGTAGGGATATCCAGTTTTCAAATCCATTTACTAAACAGATTCCCCCTTCTTCGTTGTGTCTTTCGGTGTTCTTTTACAAAACGTGTACACTACCTAGGAATTTGGGTTTGTGATTGAGCTCCCCCATTCTGTCTGTTGGTCTGGGTTTCTTGGTTAGTGCCAGTCATCTGTTATTTAGATAACTAGCTTTTCAATATAATTTCAAATGGAGGACAGTGATGCATTCCATGTACCTTGTATTTTCAGGGTTGCTTTGAAATTCAGGGTGTTTCATGGTTTCATGCAAATTTTGGCGTCATTGGTATCCTTTTTTTTAAAAAAAAAAAAAAAAAAGAGAGAGATTACCCTGTAGTATATGTATATAACTAGAAGATACAGGGGCCATTTTGATATGGGTACACCTAGGATATTGATCAAATCACAATATTTAGCATCTATGAAGTCCTCTAGGTATTATTTGTCTGTGGAGATAATACTCAGAATCCTTTCCAGCTATTTGGAAAATTCACTACAATATTAATCCTGGTCACCCTGCTATAGAAGAGAAGAGCACGACTGATCTGTTTTCTAAATGTAACTTTGTACCCATTACCAATCTCTGCCTAGGCCCTCCTTCCCCACAGCCTCTGGTAACCACTATTGAACTTTCTACTTTTGTGAGGTCAAGTGTTTCAGATTCCACATGCATGAGATTATGCAGTGTATGCCTTTCTCTGCCTGGCTTATTTCATTTAACATAATGTTCCTCAGGTTTTTCCAAGTGGCTGCAAGTGATGAGATTTCACCCATTTCTATGATTGAAGAATATTCTGCTCTGTATGTATATTGCAGTTTCCTCATCCCTTCATCAATGGATGAACAGGTAGGTGTATTTCCTATCTTGGCTATCGTGAGTACTACAGTACAAAGGGCAAGGGAGGTATCTCTTCCACATAGGAATGGAATGATGACTAGATGAAATGGCTTTTTTACTTTGTTTGAGGCACTTCCAGCTGTTTTTCCTAGTGTGTGTAGACATTGACATTCCCACCAATAGTGTAGGAGAAGAGTTTCTCCTTCTGAAAGTCTATACTACTTGTTGCCTTTTAAACTTTTTATTTCTGTTTTAGGTAACATCCATTCTATGTGGATGAAAGCTTTATCTCAGTGTGGTTTTCCTTGACATTCTTGTAAGGATTAGCACTTTTGAGAGATTTTTCTTTTATCTGTGAGTCAGTTTCACATCTGCTTTGCAGACACATCTATTCAGGTCCTTTGCCCAGCCTTAGCTTGGGTGTTTGTTTTTGTTTCTGTTTTTGTTTCCCCCCACATGGTAGTGTTAGTTTCTTGCACATATTTTATAACGACCCCTTTCAAAGACAGGATTTTCCATAGTTTTCTTTCAGTCTGTGAGGCACCTTCTCTTCTGTTCATTGTTTTCTTTTTGCAGCATAAGATCTGATGTTTTCTGTAATTCCATGTGTTTACATATTAGTGGTGACTTCCATGTGCAGTTAAAAACAGTGAAAAAGATTGCCAATCCATGGCATTGTCTATGGTTTTTTTCCTTCTAATTTTCCTTTTTCTATTTATATTTCACATTTTACAACTTGTGTGCATAGATTAGTCTTCTAAACTATGCACTTACCCTTTGTTTCCTGAGGGAAGTAAATTGTTTCAAGATTGAGTTTAGGCCTTCAGTGTAATTTACATCAATTTTTGTCCTATTTCACTGTTTTTCATGTGATTATCCAGTTTGCTCAAAATCATTTATTTTCCCATCGTGTCTTTTTGCTTTGTGTTGAAAAATGTGTTCAGTGTGCAAAAAATGTGTTTATATAATTTTGGTCTGATTATCTGGCTCCTTCATTTGGTCCATTTGGTTATCTTTCTTTGTTTATACCACTAATGGATGGAAAGGGTCAGGGTAAATTTTGTTTTGTTTTGTTTTGTTTTTTTTTTTAAGCTTTCAACCTTGATTTTGTAAAAGAATACATACTTTTACTGCAGTTAACAATATTGTGAACACAATACTAATTGGGTGGTTCATCAGTTGATCTATCTCAATAGGGGTAAATGTTAGTGAAATAATAGAAATAACAAAAAACATTTACCAAAACAGGGCTCTCATGCACAAATAAGTTCCAGTATAAAAAATTCAGTAGGCTAGGTGCAGTGACTCATGCATGTAATCCCTGCACTTTGGGAGGCCAAGGTAGGCAAATCACCTGAAGTTAGGAGTTCAAGACCAGCCTGTTCAACATGGTGAAACCCCATCTCTACTAAAAATACAAAAATTAGATGGGCGTTATGGCACACACCTGTAATCCCAGCTATTCGAGAGATGATGCAGGAGGATAGCTTTACCCCAGGAGGCAGAGATTGCAATGAGCTGAGATTGTGCCATTGCACTCCAGCCTGGGGTATAGAGTGAGAACCCATTTCCAAAAAAAAAAAAAAAAAAAAAAATAGTTCAGTAAGCAGATGTCACTTAAACTGTGTAAGAGTTATAAAACAGTTAAAGATTCCCCCCAAAATTTTGGAGTGATATAAGATCATTTGTTGGATTGAGACACACAGAATACTACAGACAAATAGGACATAGGGATATAAAAGTAAAATTTATAAATATTAGAAGCCATTGTATCAACACATTAGGATATTATAACATGACCAGAAATCCTTTATGGCAGGAGTACAAATGAGACTCAGCATTAGGAAATCCACTAATACTATTAACCAAATTCATAGAGTTAATGAGATTTCCATGTGTTCGTGATCATAGATGTAAAAAGACACTGGATTCTACAGCATGGGCTATTTTAAAACTTTAAGTCAGAATTGCTGTAAAAATAAATTAATTATGAAATGGCTGTGTACAAATAAAAAATAATGAAACCCAAATTTTAGAAAAGTATATTTAACAGTATGAAGAGGTCAATGCTGCTTTAATGAATTGATAAATTGAGCTTGACTCCATTATAGCTACTATCTGATTGTGCTCTGGAGATGAGAAATGTATTGCAGAGAAGAATACATAAAAATATCCATCAAATCTGAATATAAAAAATAACTTTTCCTCTCATGTATTATAAATTGTTGGAAATTGTGTGATGTTGATTCATAATAGAGAACAATGAAGTACAGAATTCAAAAGCTAGAATGAAACATATATGGAAATGTGTTGTACAATAAAAGCAGCAGTGGTAACAGTGGAGAGGTCAGCTCTGAGTGTCTCACTGGAGACTGAAGCCCACAGATATGCAGCAAAGCCTTTATCTCCAGGATGTTCTTGCCTCCTGCTGGCCATGTGCTTTCACACATCAAGAGAGGACATTTACCATTTGAGCCAGAGCATCCTTTGCTGTTGTCTGATGGGTGAGATTTTCTGTTCCTGTGTTCGTTTGCTGAGGATGATGGCCTCCAGCTTCATCCATATTCCTGCAGAGGATGTGATCTCATAACTTTCTGTTTATGGCTGTTATATCATAACTTTGTTTATAGTATTCTATGATATATATGTAGCACATTTTCTTTTTCCAGTCTATCATTGATGGGCATGTGGGTTGGTCCCATGCCTTTCCTATTGTGAATAATGCTGTAAAAAACATACGTGGAGCAGATGGTGCTCAGAGCAAGATGGGCCTCTGAGCAAGATGGAGCTCCAAGCATGATGGAGCTTGGATAGAGCAGATAGAGCTCCAGGGGAGATGGAGCTCTGAGCAGTATGAACCTCACAGCAGATGGACCTCTGAACAAGATGGAGCTTCAAGCATGATTGAGCTTGGATGGAGCAGATGAAACTCCAGGTGAGATGGAGCTCTGAGCATTATGAACCTCACAGCAGATGTTATGCAGAGTAACATGGAGCTCCAAGCATATGGTCTCAGGGCAAAATGGAGCTCAGAGCAGATGGTGCTCAGAGCAGGATGGAGCTTGGAGTGACTAGAGCTCCAACCTAGAAGAAGATTCAAGCAGATAATGTTCACAGCAAGAGGGAACTCAGAGTAATTGGAGCTCCGAGCAAGACAGAACCCAGAGCAGATGGGGCTTAGAGCAGATGGTGCTCAGAGCAAAATGGAGCTAGGAGTGATTAGAACTATGAGCAAGATGGAGCTCAGAGCAGATGAAGCTCTGAGCAAATTGTACCCAGAGCAATATGGAGCTCAGAATAGATGGTGCTTAGAATAAGTTGGAGCACCAAGAATATGGTGCTCAGAGCAAGGTGGAGCTCAGAATGGTTGGAGGTCAGAACAGAAGGAGCTAGCAGATGTTGCTCCTAGTAAGATGAAGTTCTTAGCAGATGGTACTCAGAGCAAGCTGGAGCTCCAAGCAGATGGTACTCAGAGTAAGATGGACCTAAGAATGATTAGAACTCCAAGAAAGATAATGCTCTGTGCAGATGATGCTTAGAGCAAGATAGAGCTCAGAGTGACTGGAGATCTGAGCAAGATGAAGTACCTCCAAGTGAGATGGAGCTTTGAGCAGATGTTGCTTGGTGTAAGATGGAGCTCGAAGCAAGATGGAGCTTGGAGTGATTGGAACTGTGAACATTGCTCTGAGCAATTGGAACTCTGAGCAAGATGGATCTCTGAGGAAGAAAGAGCTCGAAGCAAGTTGGAGCTTGGAGTGATTGGAACTGTGAACACTGCTCTGAGCAATTGGAACTCTGAGCAAGATGGATCTCTGAGGAAGAAGGAGCTCTAAGCAAGATGGAGCTTGGAGCAGATGTTCCTTGGTTTTAGATGGAGCTCAGAGAAGACGGACTTCAGAGCAGATAGAGCACTGAACAAAAAGGAGCAATGAGCAAGATGGAACTTGGAGCAGATGTTGCTTTGTTAAGATGGAGCTCAGAGCAGATGGTGCTCAGAGCAACATGGAGCTCAGAGTGATTGAGATGTAAAACATTGCTCTGAGAGATTGGAGCTCTGAGCACATGGTGCTCGGAGCAACATGGAGCTCTTAGTGATTGGAACTTCGAACACAATGGGGCTTGGAGCAAATGCAGCTCTGAGCAACATTTAGCCCAGAAAACATGTTGCTCAGAGTAAGATGGAGCTTGAGCAGATGGTGCTCAGAGTGAAGTTGGAAGTGATTGGCACTCTCAGCAAAATGGAGCTTGGAGCAGATGGATCTCTGAGCAAGATTGAGCTTGGAGCAGATGAAGCTCTGAGCAAGAAGGAGCTCTAAGCAAGATAGAGCTTGGAGCAAGTGTTGCTTGGTTTCAGATGGAGCTCAGAACAAATGGTGCTCAGAGAAAGAGGGAGCTCAGAGAACATGCTGCTCACAGTAAGATGGCACTTCGAGCAGATGGTTCTCAGAGCAGAATGGAGCTGGAAGCGATTGGAGACCTCAGCAAGATGGGGCTAGGAGAAGTTGAAGCTCCAAGCAGATGGAGCTCTGAGCAGAGGGTGCTCAGAGCAAGATGGAGCTTGGAACAAATGGAGCTTCAAGCAGATGGTGCTCAGAGCAAAATGGAGCTCAGAATAATGGGAGCTCTAAGCAAGTTGGAGCTTGGAGCTTCAAGCAGATGGTGCTCAGAGCAAAATGGAGCTCAGAGTAATGGGAGCTCTGAGCAAGATGGAGCTTGGAGCAAATGGAGCTTCAGGCAGATCGTGCTCAGAGCAAGATGGAGCTTGGAATGATTGGAGCTCCGAACCATATGGAGCTTGGATCAGATAGACCTCTGAGCAAGAAGGAGCTCCAAGCAAGATGGAGCTTGTAGCAGATATTGCTGGTATAAGATGGAACTCTGAGCAGCTGGTGCTCAGAGCAAGAGGGAGCTTGGATTGATTGGCACTCTGAACATTGCTCTGAGCAATTGGAGCTCAGAGTAAGATGAGCTCTGACCAGATGGTGTTCAGAGAAAAATGGAGCCTGAAGTGATTGGAGCCCCCAGCAAGATGGAGCTCAGAGTGATTGGAACTCCAAGCAAGATGGAGCTTGGAGTATATGGATCTCCGACTAGATGGAGCTCCAAGTAAGGTAAATGTCTATGCAGATGGTGCTCAGAGCAAGATACTTCTTGGAGTGATTGGAGCTCCAAGCAAGATGGAGCTTGGAGCAGATGAAGCTCTGAGCAAGAAGGATTTTGGAGTAGATAGAGCTTGGAGCAAGAAGGAGCTCTATTGCAGCAGATGAAGCTCGGTGTAAGATAGAGCTCAGAGATGATGATGCTCAAGAAAGCTTGAGCTCAGAGTGATTGGCACTCCAAACATTACTCTGAGCCATTAGACCTCAAAGCAGATCATGCTCAGAGCAAGATGGGGCTCAGAGTGATGAACTTTGAGCAAGCTGGAGCTGGTAACAGATGGAGCTTGGAAAAGGTGTTGCTTAGCATAAGATGGTGCTCAGAGCAAGATGAAGCTCAGAGTGATTGGAACTCCCAGCAAGTTTGAACTCAGAGCAGATGGACCTTCAAGCAAGACAGAACTCAGAGATGTTGCTCACAGAAAGATGGGGCTCTGTGCAGACAGCACTCAGGGCATAAACACCCGACATTTGTTTTTTGCAATCTTCACAGAAGGAAATTCTAGCAAATTTTAGTACCAAACTTCTAGAGAAGGAGCAGATCAGATCTTTATTGGCTGCATATACTATGATGACCATCATAGAATCACCTTGCAATGGAACATTTACAGTTTAGGTATCAACAGAATATAGAATCCAAGAGAAGACTTAAGGATTCCTACCTCAAGCTCATTGTCTTCAAATAGCAGAAGGGAGATCTACTTATCAAAGGTTAGTTTTAGTGTTTCTTTTCCTTTGGTTTTCAGATTTCTAATATAATTCTTGTATTTTCTGTTAACAGATCAGGGCAGATCCAGGAGCACATTAGAGATCTTATAAACTCAGGTGTCTTACCTTTAGGAAAGGGCTACTAAGGGTTGGCTCTGCTGGGTTGTCACCTGGTCTTCATTCTCATGGCTCTTCCCTTTCCTGGGACTCCTGGCTTTTATCTTCATTCTCCTTTTTGGCCCTTGCTTTCTGAATCTTCTAAGTTTGTTTCCTCGCACCTAGAAACCATCATACTTCCAATGGTCTTGTGATGGTGATATCAACCTCTTTCTTTCCCTCCAGGACACCAAGTTCCTACATGTCTCATCTGGACACCATGGGTCAGACCTTCCAAGAGACAACAAAAATCACTGAAACCTCATGACAGCAAGCAAGGAGGAAGGATCCTGAAGACCCATGATGGCCCCTTTCAGCAGGAAGTAGATACAGAGAATGAATTCTGCCCCATCTACCAAAAGATTTCTGGGTCCCAACTCCTTGAGGAAAAAAATGTAAGAGTAGACAGATATGAGCAGAAGAAGGGGGAGGTATCCATGTTGGAAAGAATATCCTGGAACATGTCTTAGAATGCCCAGTACTCACTCTATGGTCTAACTGTCAGAATGTTGTTAACTAGATCCTCATAAAGAAGGAAAAGGGCAAAAGGGAATTCCTGAGAGCTGAGCAGGTACAATGGGTACAAAACTGACTGCTTTACCTTCCTGGGGTGGCAGTAATAAGCAGGGCCACCATTAGATAGAATTCTTACTGATCACTGGTTTCTGTGCCTGTGCATTAAGCACAGTAAGGGAAGATCCCTCAACCTTTGGTGAGAACTGGATAAACAAAGAACTGAGGCAACAGAAGATCACAATGCACAATGTCATGGTGGTGTTTCCAGCAGGGTCAGCCCACTCCTCTCCTGGAGTGTGTTTGTACTTCCCAATAAAACTTTTGCTGGGTTTACAAATTAGTCTTTTGGGTAAATTCTTTCTTCCAAGAAGACAACCATGAAATGCCCAGATTGGTAACATTATTATGTGATTTCACTCATAGTAAGAGTCTATTTCTGGGGATCTCAAAGTGAATTCAATAATGACAAGGTGTATCAAGGATAGAGTTGGTAAGAAAAAAACAACAGTTCCACAACGCTTGACTTACTAAGAAATTTGTCTAGGGGAAGCCTGGGCAACATAGCATGACCCTGTCTCTTGAAAAGATTACAATTATAAAACATTTGTTTCAGCAAAAATAAATGGTAACTTTTTTGTGTCTCATTGTTTTAAAAATTCAGTCAATGCACTTTAACTTACAGTTTTGATGATCTTAAGTGTTTTTATGATCTTAACACCCAGAAGAGTAATATAGGTCCATGCTACATTCATAGAAGAGAAAATCTAATGTTTTTGAAAAAACATTGCAGCAGATAACTTAAAAAAGAGAACAAATTAAGTGGATGTTCTGATACATAAATTACAAACTTGTAGCTAGCTGATATAGTAAAATCATGCTGCTTTATTTCTCTGAATATATCCATATCCATGTGCCCCTGAAATGTTGGCATGCCTCCTTTGAGACTTGTTTTTTCTCCTTATTTTTGTAAAATATACAATTCAGTGGCATCAAGTAAAGTGACAGAGCATATGATTTTTGGTTTTCCATTTCTGAGTTACTTGACTTATTATAATAATGGCCTCCAGCTCCATCCAAGTTGCTGAAAAAAACATTATTTCATTTATTTTTATGGCTGAGTAGTATCCCATGGTGTATATACACCACAATTTCTGAATCCACTTATCGTTTGATGGGCACTTAGGTTGGTCCATATCTTTGCAATTGCAAATTTTACTATAAACAGGCATTTGCATGTGTCTTTGTGTCTTTTTTATATAAGTACTTCTTTTCCTTTGGGTAGATACCCAGTAATGGGATTGCTGGATGAAACGGTAGTTGTACTGTTAGTTCTTTAAGGACTCTTCATGCTGTTTTCTATACTGGTTGTACTAATTTACATTCCCACCAGTAGTGTAAAAAGTGTTCTCTCTTCACCATATTCAAGCAAACATTGTTTTTCAACTTTTTAATTGTGGCAATTCTTGCAGGAGTAAGGTTGTATCTCATTGTGGTTTTAATTTGCATTTCCTTGATGATGAGTGATGTTAGTGCCCTTTAAATAGAGACTTCAGTAGTTTCTTTGTTTCATTCTCCATTTGAGGCCACAACAAGACAGCTACATTTTTATTTATTTTTATTTTGAGATGAAGTCTCACTCTTGCCCAGTACAATCTTTGTACCACTGGAGTACAGTGGTACAATCTTTGCTCACTGCAACCTCTGCCTCCCAGATTCAACCAGTTCTCCCATCTCAGTCTCCTGATTAGCTGGGACTACAGGTGCCTGCCACCATGCTGGGCTAATTTTTGTATTTTTAATAGATACAGGGTTTCACCATGTTGGTCAGGTTGGTCTCCAACTCCTGACCTCAGGTGATCCACCCACCTCAGCCTCCCAAAGTGCTGGGATTACAGGCATGACCCAGCCAAGGCCACAGAAGACATCTACATATGAACCCTCACCAGACACCAACTTTTTCTGGTGAGTTGATGTTAAATTCCCATACTCCAGAACTCTAATAATGTCTGTTGTTTGTAACCCACCCAGTTTATGACATTTTGTTATAGCAGCCTGAATGGGCTAAAATGCTGTGTGTGTAAGTTACCTTCTTAGCATTGTGTTTGCTCTAATCTATAAGTTTTTGGTATGTTTTAATTTCTTTTATGTCAAGATAATTTCTAGCTTCCCTTGTGATTTCTTTTTTGATCCATTGGCTAGTTAAGACCATGTTGTTTAATTTTTTTTTTTTCATTTTTTTCTTTGAGACAGGGTCTTGCTCTGTCAGCAAGGCTGGAGGACAGTGGTGCAATCTCTGCTCACCACAACCTCCCTCTGACTCCCAGGTTCAAGTGACTTTCTTGCTTTAGCCTTTCAAGTAGCTGTGATTACAGTTGCCTGCCACCATGCACAGCTAATTTTTATATTTTTAGTATAAACATGATTTCACCATGTTGGCCAGACTGGTCCTGAACTCCTGACCTCAGGTGACCCACCCACCTTTTCTTCCAAAAGTGCTGGGATTACAAGTGTGCGTTCCCACATCTAGTCTAATTTTAGAAACATTGGAAAATTTTGTGATTTTTTTATAAAGTTCTCCTTCTGTTAATTAATTTCATGGCTGGGCATGGTGGCTTATGCCTATAATTTCAGCACTTTGGGAGGCCGAGGTGGGTGGATCACGAGGTCAAGAGATCGAGACCATCCTGGTCAACAAGGTGAAAACCTGTCTCGACTAAAAATACAAAAATTAGCTGGGTGTGGTGGTGCATGCCTGTAGTCCCAGCTACTCGGGAGGCTGAGGCAGGAGAATTGTTTGAACCCAGAAGGCAGAGGTTGTGGTGAGCCGAGATCATGCCCTTGCACTCCAGTCTGGGTAACAACAGTGAAACTCCATCTCAAAAAAAAATTGACTACAAAAAAGTGTCATGTATGGGTTTCAACAAAACCATATATGCAAATGTATGTAGCAACTTTACTCAAAATAGCCAAAACCTGGAGACAACCCAGATGCCTTAACAGTAGATAAATGGTTAAACAAAAACTGAGCTACACTCTCAACCTGGAATACTGTTCTGCAATAAACAGGATGAGGGGCCATGCATGGTGGTTCACACCTGTAAGCCCAGCACTTTGGGAGGCCCAGGCAGGTGGATCGTGAGGTCAGGAGATCAAGACAAGCCTGGCCAAAATGGTGAAACCTCGTCTCTATTACAAATACAAAACTTAGCCAGGCATGGTGGCAGGTGCCTGTAATTCCAGCTACTCAGGTGGCAGAGGCAGAGACTTACTTGAACCTGAGAATTGGAGGTTGCAGTGAGGTGAGATCATGCAACTGCACTCCAGCCCAGGCAACAGAGTGAGACTCCATTTTATAAATAAATAAATGGGATCAAATCATTGATGCACACAACTCGGATGAGTCTCTAGAGAATTATGCTGAAAAAAATACAACGGTCTCAAACAGTTGTACACTATACAATTTACATAACATGCTTGAAACAACAAAATTATGAAAATAGAGAACAGATTAGTTGTTAGCAAGGGGTTAGGGATGGGGAGAGGAGAGGAAAAGGGAAGAAGGAGGTTCATGTGGTTATACAAGAGCAACGTCAGAGATCTTCCTGATGTGGTGAATGCATGACCCTGCATATCTGATCAAACTGCATAAATATAAACACATACACACAAGTACAAGTGAAATGAGAGGTCTGACGATTGGTGGATTGTATTAATGTCAGAATTCTGGCTGAGATACTAAACTATAGTTTGCAAGATGTTGCCACTATGGAAAACTGGTAAAAAGTATATGGGCATCAATTTTATTTTTTATAACTGTATGCAAGTCCACAATTATCTTAAACTGAAAAGTTAAAAAAAAATACAAACCTCATAGGCTTTATGTGAGGATCAAATGAGATAGTATTCATGGAAGAAAATTCACTCATCAAATGTTTATTGATGCCTCTCATCTGTCCAGACAGTGTGACTGCTGGGCGTATAGCAGGGAGCAAGGTTCACATTATAATAGATATTTTACTCTGGTGTAGTGTCACACAAAAGCGAATTGATACTTTTTAAATTTGTTATTGAAATTAGTTTAATCACAACCACTCATAGAACAGTACTATGCATCCTGTCCCTTCGTGTAATGAAAATAGACTCAGAGAGATGGCAAAATTTGCCCAGGTACCAGGTAGAACCAGAGGAAGAATTCAAACCCAGAATGGAGTCCAAGGTTGTGGCTCATCACCTCTAAATTCAATGCCTTCAACAAAGGAGGTCTCTTCTTTTTGTCTTCAGTGAAGACAGCTGAAGTAGAATGTGGCACATCTACAACACCAGGGACAGAGTAACTGTGGGTGAAGAGGGCCATGACTGGTTCCTGGGGAGGAGTCATGACACTATCAATAACTTTGGTTAGGTATGGCTGCTGCCAGGTTGACTGTTGTCACCCTCACATGCCTCATGGTTTCTTCCTTGCCCAGACAGTCTTTTATGTATTGGTGACAAAACCCTCAGCTCAATGTGAATAGAGCCATGTCTATTGTGCCCTTATGCTAGGTTTCGGTGCACCTCTCCAAACCCGGCATACAGAAGAATCAATCAAAATAAAATTCAAGAGGGTCTGTAGGACATAATAAGACACTACGCAATTAAAGAAAGGCAGGGGGAATAAGATTAAAAAGGGAGACTCCCATAGGTTTGGGGAGCTTATTTCATTTTTGTGCTCCTCTAATGCAGCACAAGCTGTCACACAACAAACATAATAATAGCTAAATTTTAGCTATTATTATTATGAATCTATTATAAATTATAAATACAATAATTCTATTAAGATATATTATAAATCTATTATTTATTATAATTATGTAGCTAACCTGGAGTACTTACTATGTGAAAACATTGTTCTTAGTGCTTTATATGACTCACCTCTCAATGCTGGAAGGGAGGTGTAATTATTATCTCACTTTTACTGATGAGGAAACTGGGTGGCTGATCAGTGAGGAAATTTGCCTGAAGTCTCAAAGATAGCATGGGATGCAATCCAGATTTGAACTGAAGTAGGCTGGCTCTGAGCCCCTGCCCCTACCCCCTACATGATTTTTAAAAAGACACATTACACAACAGTAACAATTTCTCTTGGACATTTTAGAGAAATGGATATGATTTTTTTAAAAAATTGCTAAAACAGGATGTACTGGAAATTTTAACAGAGAGATTTTAAATGCTCTTACCACAAAAGAAAAAAAGAAGTAATTATGTGAGATAATGGATATACTAGTGTGCCTGAGTGTAGTAATCATGTTACTATGTGTATGTACATCAAAATATCATGTTTTATGTTTTCAATGTATATTT